GTACCTTTACAGTCGGCTACTCTCCATTGAGTATTTTACTTTCTTCAGAGGGGCATGCCGCCTGTACCTTTACAGTCGGCTACTCTCCATTGAGTATTTTACTCTTTCTTCAAAGGGGCATGCCGCCTGTACCTTTATGGTCGGCTACCCTCACATAATACAGTTCACCAAGAACTATCAAAAAACATGATCAGACCAGGCGTCAAGCCAACTGATCGAAATATAAAAATTCAATTCGACCTGTCCCAACATTATAGCAGGCGTCCGACGGCATCCATCCGGATGAAATTCGTCGCAGAGAGCAGCTCCCTTTTGGGTGGAACATTGTTCTATAAACTAATTACACGGCACCTATACGACTGTCCCCAAGGGCAACCACGTAGCCGTTTTTGAGACAAGGATAACTCTATCACTAACCAAACCAGTGGTAGCAGTTGACATCTGAGTCGGATGACCGCCTGTATTACTTGGGATAAATGCAGGGGGTACCTCTTGAGTTAATAGCCAACAGACATTGGCGAATCAAAAGGTTCAGCCGGCCTCAGCCGCCTGGTACCTTTACTACTCAACCAAGAGTGACGGCGACTGAGTAACACCAACGTTAACTCATAGTCACTCCCTAAAAGGTATGGAGCCTAAAAGGTTTTAGTGGACCGCCTGTTTTTTGGCAAACAGGGGCACTCAAACCACTACTCCTGCTGGGTTAACACTACTTGGGTTAATAGCCAACAAATATTGGCGAATCACGGGGATCAGCCGGCCTACGCCGCCTGATACCTCTACTACTCAAGCTAGACAGTGACAGAGACTGAGTAACTCCCATGTTAACTCAGTCACTCTCAAACTTAGGAGTCCGCCTGTTTTTTGGTAATCAGAGGTACTCGTCTACTACTTACTAGGTTGTCTAAACTTAAGACTGCCGTCTGTAACCAAACAGGCGAACCTACATCTCTTAACAAAATAAACTAAGTACCAAACTTAGTATATTGAACAGTTGGCTTAGACGGCCTAGAGTCTCTAGCCGGAAAACATAACAAGGAACCACGTTCCTATTTGATTGAATAAATGGCCGACTGATTGCCCAGCTTGGAAACAGACAACCAGTCGTCCAGGGGCAAAGGCGGACCATCCGTACCTGTCTACAATCGGCCATGCAAAACAGTCGGTATAGTGTACAATGCAATATCAAATATTCAACACTTAGACAAGTTTTATTCAAAAAAGTGATTTCATTGATTTCATTAATAAAGGAAGAAATATTCAGAACCCCGGCCCCCTGGCCGGGTAAATACAAGCAAACGGCACGCAGGCCGTGGAAAAATACAAAAAGCTTAATGGGGCAAGTCTTCAGCATTAGCAGCGTCCGCCTGGTCAGCCTTCCTCTTGCTAGACTCGGCCTTAGCTGCATCCTTTTTCGATGCCTTGTCCCCAAGTGGCACAAGCGCCACTATCGGCTGCTCATCCCCATCCAAGGCCTCCTCCAATGCCTCGTCCTCAGCAGCCGCCAGGATCTCTTGATTATATGTTTCAGAGCACTGGCGGTATGTTTTTTCCCACGAGGCAAAGTCGGCACTGGGGAAGAGGCGGCTCCAGGTCATGCGCTGGATCTGGGAAGAGTCCTCCATCATCTCTCGGACGAGCTCTCTTTTCTCTTGCTCGGCCTTCTCCGAGAGCTCTTCAGTTAGACTCTTCTCCTGGGTCACCAGGCGTTCCTTTACGTTAGCCAAAGATTTCTCCATGGCTTCGTATGACAGCATCTTCTGGCGGAGAGGTTTAAGCTCGGCCTTGAGATTGGAGACGGTCGCCTCCAGCTCGCTGTTCCTCTTCTGGGCCGCCTCTAACTCAGCCCGGATAGCGGCGGCAGCCTGCGCCTGATAATAAAGAATATCAATTGTCAGAACTTCATTTTGGGCAATTTGAAACATTGCCTTATCACAGTTAGAGGCGGCCATAGCTTTTGCAGCCTTTACCTCTTTGTTTTTCCGATCAAGCGGCTTGCGAAGGCCGTTCACTCGGAGCAGGGCCTAAGTAAAAAGGGAACAGGCGTCAGTTTACAAACAAGATAACAGGCGTCCTGGAATTCAAATACTCAAAAAATGCCAAGATTACCTCAGCAAGGACCCCTGCAATCCCATCAAGGTCAAGGGTGCCGACACCCCTGACCGCCTCCCTTTCAGATGGAGGAACTGCTTTGATCATGGACTTGGCTACCTCTACCAAGTCAGGCTCCAGAGGGCCGGCTGCATCAAGAGTAAAAAAGCAAGTTAGACCTAGTCAAGAAGGAAGCAAGTGAAAGTTTTTACAAGTAATTGTCCATACTTCTAGGCGGCCCCGCCGGAGTTTTAGAAGAAAAGGCCGGCTGCTTCTCAGCCGCCACAGTTTTCCTGGAAGACCCAGGAGAGCTTGCAACAGTCGTCCTCCGGGCCTTGGGGTCCGGCTGTTGCGAGGAGGAAGCTCTTGGAGTGCCCGACTGAAAAAAAAAAAAAAAAAAAAAAAAAAAAAAAAAAAAAAAAAAAAGGGTTAGTATATGCATAAGACAACAACTCCTAAAAGAGGAAGAGTTTCGAAGCCCACCAAGGGTGCCCCCTTGTTGGGGGAGTCGGTACTCGCCTGTTGCATGAGAGAGGCCCGCAACATGGCCGCCGCAGTCTTGGAAGCTGTTATTTTGCTCATGGCGTCAGCTGCAAAAATTAAACAGCAAAGTTAGTAAAAATCTCAAGTAAACAAGGCGTGAAAAAACAGAGTATTTGTCAGGCCGGCTACCTCTAGAGCACCGACTGCTAAGGCCACAGGCGGCCAAGAAGTACTCGTCATAGAGCCACTTGAAGCTCGGGACGCAGTTTAGGGGTACTTGCTCTCGTACCCCTGAAGTAGAGTTCACCCTAGTCTCTACTTTGAAGAGTCCTTTGTCTAGGATCTCTTTTTTAGCCTTTGGGGGAACAGGCGGCAAGCTGTGACCGCCTGCAAGAAGAGGCGGATTCCTGTTCCACTTGTTGAAGCGTTTGTTCAGCTCCTTGTCTGAACTCTCAATGATGAGGAAGGTGTTCCGCCAATCCTTCCATTTGTTCGCCTTACCTCTCGTCATGAGGTAGCCCCTATGGCTTGTTATTTGATACCAGCCGGTACCGCCTGACTTAGGGGTCCGGCTGAGATAGTTCATGTGGGCGAAAGCCTCAAAGCTTGGCTCCACCCCGTACATTTCGCACCCGGCCACATAGCCGAGTACGTTTACCCAAGAGTTGGGGGCTAACTGCCATAACCCCAAATCATACCCATCTAAAATCCGCTGAACAGCTGGATGTAATGGGAAGCGCAATCCAGCTTTGATGGCCGCCGCATAGCAGCCAAAGCAGCCGTCATCGTAGCTGGTACCAGCCGGCCAGACGATAGTGTCTTCTGGATCCGGCACGAACAGTAAGAATCCGGGGCCCATTCTGTGGTTAGCTATAAAGCTCTCCACTTTGTCTTGCATGCCCGTGATCCGGCCCCGAGGTACCGTGCAGTAGTAGGGGGTGTTTTCCTCTCGGTAAGAGGCGGACGGTTCCGCCCAATTGGCCCCCTTCTCCACTGCATGAGAAAGCCTCGCCTCTTGTAGGCGGCTGTTTCTTTCTTCTGAGCCTGGAGAAGCGTGGCCAGAAGAGCTGGACTCGGACTCGTCCTCTGACGAGTCCGAAGAGGACGACTCCTTCCCTCTCCCAGAGGGGCCCGCCTGCTCTCCCTTAGAAGGAGGAGGAGAAAAGTTAGGCGTATCAACGGTTAAATGGGTAGGGACCGCCTTGGCCCCTCCCTCAGAACGGTCGGCTTGGCAGCCGCCTTGTTTCACTTCTACATCTGGCGCCTGGTCAGATGTTTCGCTGATGGGTACCCTTTGGGAGGAGCCGTCCGAGTTTGAGATCCTAGCAGTCTTTTTTGTTCTGGCCATCACGTTCTGCATAGACACAGATACAGTCGGACTTTGTATAAAGGGCAAAGATGGGTCCAGAAAAGGGCAGGCGGCACTCCTAGTCCTAGATTCAGCCGTCCCCGGTGACCGGCTGATCACTAACTTAGGTCGTGTCGTGTGCTTCCATGGTGCCATTTCAAAAAATAATAACAAGAAAATTAAGAGTAAGAGAACCGACGGTTACCTGAACGAATGACGATTGATGAAATTCTGAAATCCTTTGCAAACGGCTTGTCAGAGCAGGCGGTAGGCAGAAAAAGTCCAAAGTGTCAGAGCAAGTTCAGGGGTCCGAATGTTCTCTCGCAAAGTTCTCAAATGTGAAAATGACCAAAGTCAGCACTTCCTTATATAGGCAAAGTGAGAAAGCGAAGGGTCGCTTCCAAATTAAAAATTTGGGCGGGAAAATCTCTCGGCCATCTGCAAGGTGACACCTGTAGCAGGCCGTCGCCTGTCACCATGCGACACCTGTCACAGGTGACATGTGACCAGTCACGTGCCACCTGTGAGGGGCAAATGATTAGGGGATTTTTATCCACCTATCGCAGTCTGACAAGTGGACCAACCAGGTTCCGCCACGTGTCCTTCACGTGGGCCAATAGGAGCCTGCCACGTGTCAATCACAGATATGTCCTCTACGGACCAATTGAGACACGCCACGTGTCCACCCATGCCAAATGGGAAAACCGGCCACCTAGGCCCAACTTCCGAGGGAAGCCCAATCAGCCCAAGGTTAACCTAAACCTAGATTGGCACGTTTCCCGAGGCTATAAATACCTCTCTTAATCATCATTAAGGGGGGAGAGAAATCAGATTACTCACATTAAACACTCTCACCTAGAGAGACCCAATCACTTTAATTTCCGCACTTATTACTCCTCATACAAGAACTAACTTGACCGTTGGAGGCGGAGCTCCTACCACAAGGAGTCTTCGTTGTTTTGCAGGTACAGGCGTCCGGTTCCAGTCTCGGTGTTGTAACTCTCCCGCAGGACATCAGAAAACCCCGAAACACTTCTCATTGATGATATTGGGGATGACTACTTTGGAATACTAGCAGATGAATCTAGTGATGTATCTCAAAAGGAACAATTGGCCCTTTGTTTGCGTTATGTGAATAATAAAGGGAAGATAACTGAGAGGTTTCTTGGAATTGTACATGTTAAGGATACCACTGCTTTGTCACTAAAAAGTGCAATTGAGTCTTTGCTTATGGAGTATTCATTGAGTTTGTCTAGAGTTCGTGGACAAGGTTACGATGGTGCTAGTAATATGAGGGGTGAGATAAACGGTTTGAAGACTTTGATCATGAATGAAACAAAACAAGCTTATTATATTCATTGTTTTGCTCACCAACTTCAATTAACCCTTGTTGCTGTTGCTAAGGATAATGATGATTGTATTTGGTTGTTTGACCAACTTGCTATTTTATTGAATATTATTGGTGTTTCTTGTAAGAGAAGGGAAATGATAAGAGAAATACAATCTCAACATGTTCTAGAAGCATTAGATCTAGGGGAAATTGAAAGTGGGCAAGGTTTAAACCAAGAACTTGGTTTAGGTAGGCCTGGTGATACTAGGTGGGGGTCACACTACAAAACTGTTTCAAATGTTACCTCATTATATGCTACTATTGTCAAAGTTCTCGAGAAGGTTGGATCAAATAAGCTTTATAAGGATGATCGTGTAAAGGCTATCACTGTTATGTCTACATTTGAATCCTTTGAGTTTGTTTTCATGATACATTTGATGTCTGAAATATTTGGGCAAACTGATAAATTGTGTCAAGCTTTGCAAAGAGGAGACCAAGATATTGTTAATGCCATGTCATTTGTTACGTTGACTAAGGAACAATTGCAACAAATGAGGGACCATGGGTGGGAAGAATTTTTGCATCTTGTGCTTTCTTTTTGTGCTAAACATAATGTGGAAGCTCCTAATATGGATGATATGTATGTTCCTCGTGGAAGATCAAAACGCTTCTTTGCCAAAGTGACAAATCTTCATCGTTTTCGGGTAGAAATGTATTTAAGTGTCATTGATTTACAACTCCAAGAGCTCAATAATAGATTTGATGAGAAAAATATGGAATTGCTTATTTGTATGTCATGCTTAAATCCGGTAAATTCATTTGCGGCATTTGATAAGCAAAAGTTGATGAGACTTGCCGAGTTATATCCCGAAGAGTTTCCAACTAATGACATGACAATGACTGCTCTTCGTCATGAACTTGGTTTCTATATTAATGACATGCGTACAGATGCAAGGTTTGGAGACTTGAAGGGTATTAATGAGCTTTCTATGATGCTTGTTGAAACAAATAAGCATACTTCTTACAAATTAGTTTACTTGTTGATAAGACTAGCATTGATCCTTCCGGTGGCGACTGCAAGCGTGGAACGAGTGTTTTCATCAATGACTTATGTAAAAAATAAGTTGCGGAATAGTATGGGTGATCAACTATTGAATGATAGTTTAGTTACTTATCTTGAGAGAGCCTTATTTGCAAGAGTTAGTGATGATGATGTATTAGCACGCTTTCAAAGTATGAAAACTCGAAGAATGCTTTTGTAGTTTTTTTTTTTTAGTGTGTAATCCATCCATTTGTAATAAAAATTTGAATTTATGTATTGAATTTTTAATCAATATATGATCATCGTTTTTTTTTAAGATTTCGAACGAACCCACGGTTCGGAATTCCTGGATACGCCACTGGATGAGGGTGGTTGGAGGTGGCGGAAAGGGGAGAGATTGGGAGGGAAGAAGAAGGAGGAGGAGAAAAAGGAGATATGGGAGAAGTTGAAGTGGTTTCATGGTGGGGGAAAAGAGGAGTTGGTGGGGTCTGAGTTTTTTTTTTTTTTTTTAATTATTTATATTTTATTTTGTTGATTTAAAAAAGGTAATTAAAGCAAAATAAAAAAGTGACTGGTTGTTCAGGTCACAAGTCATTTTGGTTTAATATGGGAGGAAAAAAAAATACAAACTTGTGTTTATTTTGGAAATATTTAAAGGTTGGTTCGTTGTTGTTAAATTTTTCTTTTTTTTATACGCAATATTTTGACTTTTACATTATTTATATGTTACTTTGATTAGTTTTGACGATTCATATATAATTAAAAATAAAAAAACTGTAGTCATGTGAGATTTTGTTAGATTATTCTTGAATTATACTTACTATTTCATCATCAAATATTTATAATTTTTACACATTGATATTAATAAGTATAGATATTAGCGAATGAAATAATGTATCGATAATCATGAAAAGAAAAGTATTGCATGTACTAGTAAAAAAAACCAAAGGAAATAGTGTCGGATGATCAAGATATGTAAACATCAATTAAAAATAAAAACTATCTTACTACAAGTTGCTATAGCCTATAGTGCCGTGGTACAACACATGAAAAATTAAAGGATTTTAGTTAGTACTTCCTCTGTTTCATATTAGACGATGCATTTCATTTAGGCACTTTTGCAATATTTTCTAATGCAAATATTCTTGATTACATATTAGCAATATTTATAAAGATTTGATATTTGAAAAATAGATATTGAGACAAAGACCCCATATGACTATATTTTTTTTCAACACAAAATCACAAGCAAAGTCAAAGTAAATTATATGAATAGTGCACATAGTCAAACATTATCTAATTTGAAACAGAAAAAGTAATACCTTCGTAGTATATATTTGGTCCAAGTGTCTATTGCCCCTAAAAACAACAACGAAATATCAGACATAAGAAATAGTCTTATTGGACTAAAAGAGATTATTGGGCTTAAGGACGCCATAGAGCATATTTCTAAAGCTGAAACATTGGACACTGGCCTATTGCTGCGGATAACCATTAGAAGGCCAGTACAACAACTTCTTGGGTATCAGAATTATACTCTGATGTGACCAGTCATACAACGGTCATAGTTATTTCCTCCGTTTATTTTTAGTAGTACTCTGTAATGTTTCTATTCTCTTACTCTATCCATTTCTAAATAGTTGACAAACATGTCAATGTATTAATTTAACTTCAGATACATATGATTAAATATTAGTAAAAAATATTAAAAATATTTTAATATTATGAATTTTTATACTAATATCTATTTAACAATATATTTCATGATAAAATTTATTTTTTATATAATACTAAAATACGATGATCAAAGTTGTTATACTCCGTATTAATAGTAAAAAAAGTCAAACATGTCAACTATTTAGAAACTGAGGGAGTATTTGTCGTACATAATTTAAACTATGAAGAATACGAATTTAATGATGAGTTTACACAGAAGTACATTACTACAACTTGAGGAGTGAAGGGATGATTAGTCCCTTCATCTTTCCCGGGTGTGACCTAGGTTCGACTCCTCATCTCCTCCTCCTGTGATAAGAGGAGAATCCCCCCATATCTTACCGTTAATAAACAAAAAAAATACATGATTACAACTCGACGAGTATATATCATAAAAAATAATCAACGAAAAAAATAGTGTTTATAAAAGTTGAAACATTTAAAAAAGAAAAAATGGAAGAAGTTTTTGTTTGATTGAGTTTATTCCCATTTTGGGAAATTGGAAATGTTTTTAATCCTCTACTTTTGACAAATTGGTACATTTTTTTTATGTCAACAAAGTTATAACGGTACAACTTTGTTGATGTTCGTCAAATTAACATGTTGACTTATTTACTACAGGTATAATTGACATGTTGGTCAATATATTGTTATAACATCTATCATGTTGCTTTAACGTATCACCAAATATTATTGACATTCATGGTAAAATGATTTATTAGTATCAATACATTTTTTTTGCTGATTTTAGTATTAATCAAAGTAAAATTTTAAACCAACAAGTAGAACTGGGCATGGGCTGTGCTGGCCCGCGGGAGGCACGACACGAGCCCGCCGGTGGCCCGGCACGGTGACTGAGGAGTGGGCCGTGGGTCGTGCCGTGAACACCTAAATTCGGCACGAGCACGACACGAACCTGCGGGCGGCACGGTACTTTGGCCCGCAGCACGGCTCGCGGCACGGCCCAGCACGGCATGCGGCACGCCAGGCACGACCCGTGCAAAAAACGGCTCTTTCAACGTCTCTTCTCCAACGGCTACAAAATTGCAACAGCTCTTTTAACGGCTCTATTACCGACTATTTTTCCCATCTAAGTCTCTAACGGCTACTTCATCCCCTTCTCTATAAATACTTCATTCCATCTTCCATTTTTTTTCCACAATTCATCAACTCATCTATTCTCAAATCTTTTATTCTCTAATTCATTCCTTACTCTCTTAATTATAATCTCCACTTCTCCAAAAAAAAAAAAAAAAAAAAAAAAAATTCTCATATAATCTTTAATCCTCTAATTCTCTCAATTATAAATATTAATAAAAAAAAATTATAAGTTTAAGAAATTAATTAGTGGAAAGCAATCGAAGCGTCGTTGTAGATCTAACTCAATTTTATTTTAATTTATTATTATTATTATTATTATTATTATTGTTATTAATTTATTATTATTATTATTATTATTATTATTATTATTGTTATTGTTATTAATTTATTATTATTATTATTATTACTATTACTACTACTACTACTACTACTACTACTACTACTACTACTACTACTACTACTACTACTACTACTACTACTACTACTACTACTACTACTACTACTACTACTACTACTACTACTACTACTATCACTATTATTATTGTTACTATTGTTGTTGTTGTTGTTATTGTTGTTGTTGTTGTTGTTGTTAATCATGGCATCAAACCCGTACCTTTCCTCATCCTTTAGGAAAGCCAAGTCAAAACGTACTAGTACTAGTAGGGAATTACCAAATTCAAACACTTCAATGCCCTCCCCTAACATGCCCATTCCGAACACTCCCACTGCACCCCCTTCTTCCATCCCTAAACTATGGGAGGATTCGAACAATTTGATAATATGTCTCCTTGGAATATGTCTAGTTCGGGATTTCAACAAAACCAATTCTCACCTCATTTATAGCCAAACAAATGTCGCCGGGTCAAGTGAACAATCCACCCAAATTTCAAACACCCAAAATCCAAACACATTAGACCAAAGGTGTACCGAAAAGGAATTTGTCGCTACCAACCGAAAGAGTAATGTTTGGAATCATTTTTTCTTAAGTAGAGATGGAACCAAAGCAAAGTGTAAGACATGTAACAAAATTTACTCGGCCGAAACCAAGGGAGGGACGGGACAACACCTAAGTAGACATGTCCGCAAATGTGGTGAACCATCTAGTGATCCAACTCAACCCAAAATTTCTCAATTCCATCCACATGGGTTCACTTACAATTATGAGAGAGATAGGGATGAACTTGGGAGAATGTTAATACATGCCGAACAAACTTTTCTTTTCGCCGAAAATGATCTCTTTAACAATTACATTAATCGAGCACTACAACCCCAACACAAATAAATCTCTAGAAAAAACCGTTCGTTTGGTTGCCATGAAATCTTTTTCAAGAGTACAAATTGAAGTTATATGATGAATTAAGTAATCTTAGTTGTAGAGTTTCTTTGACCGCGGATGCATGGGATAGTGGTTACTGATATCCACTATTTGTGTGAGTGTGTGACTTGTCATTGGTTGGATAATGATTGATTATTACAAAACCGCATTATTTATTTTAAAATACTTGAATACCCCCACAACGGTCTTAATATTTCTCATCATTTAAAGCAAGCTATTGATGCATATAATAATCTTAGGCCCAAAATCATGTCTATGACTTTTGATAATGCAACTTCTATGACATTTAGTGCAAATTTAGTTAAAGTACAATAGAACGATGTAATAGTAGATGGAGATGCACTTCATATTAGATGCATTTGTCATATTCTTAACTTGTGTGTGAAGGATGGAACACAAGCAATTGGTACATTTTATCACAAATTTAGAAATGCTATTATGTCTATTAACAGCTCTAACATGAGATTTCAGGAATGGAAAGCTTTTTGTAAGCAACAAAGGATAAAGGCTATTAAAATCAAAACGGATTGTGCAACTAGGTGGAACTTCACCTATGATATGTTGAGTATGGCAATCGAGTACAAGGGTCCATTAACAATTTTTTAATTAAAAATCTCCACAATTTGCTTACTAGATGATGATTGGTCTAATTGTGAAAAATATATGCAGTTTTTACAATTATTATATAGTATGACACATTGTTTTTCTTCTGTTTATAATCCTTGTGCTCATTCTTTTCTTAGCAATGCATGTTTACTTACACAACTTTTCGCTGAACACCGATCACAACACGATTACGATGGATATCTTCCATCAATGGAGGAAAAATGGCGTAAATATTACTCTACTCTTCCTATGATTTATATTTTTTCTTCTATATTAGATCCAAGGCAAAGTATGATGGCACATTTTTATTAATTGATATTTATTTTCAATGCATGAATTTTGAAGATAATGTTGAATCTTATAAAACTAATGTGACCAATCAATTTTTTTGCCTTATATAGAGTTTATGAATCAAAATATGGAACAGTGTTTCGATTTGCTCCTTCTCAACCATCCAAAAA